GGCCGAACTGCCCTGTTAGAAGAAATATGATTGGGCATTCTATACAGCACTGATCAACCACTTAGTCAGGTACCGGCATTCAAATACCAAAGGATAAGATTATTTAAGTGACCCTAATTAATTAGTTCTGGCCCCTGTCAAATCATTTGGGGGCCAACTTTGGGCCAGCATGTCGGTCCCACATTTTGGTGACTCCTCTCTGTGAGGTCATGCTCTTTAAGAGGGTGATTAACTTTAGGTTGCTTGAGGTGATATGGGGCTGCCATTTGCAGTTCCTCAAATAAAACTAGTAGCAGGCTTCAGCACACCATCGAATTTCACAGAGCCTTGCCTCACAAAATGACATCTTAATCGGACTTGATTACAAATTCAGATCATGAGGGCCACTCGTCAAAAGACAAATGAGGTTCACAGGGTCTGCTTCCCTGTCTGACCTGCAAATACATCATCATTTTCAACCTCGACTTAATTTCTCTAAAGCAGCGCAGGCCTCGCAAAATGATTATGGCGGAAGCACAAACATCCGCAAGTGATATAAAGTCATTTTTCCTATCATTTATGTTCGATTCGGCCTCAAATTTCAGAATATATTTAATACACTATCTCTAAGGTATATTTCGCTTTAGTCCCGTTTATTTCGAATAGGTCAGTTTTCATATTAATTGTCGAGCCAATCGTGCATACCATGTTCATGCTTTCGTTAAAATAATCGGGTTCATTCCGTCAGTAAATTAAGTGGTTGACAAACTACAACATTTTGAATCTCCTCTTTCCTGCCCATCGACCAATTCGTCTTCATTCCCACTTGAGCTTTAGGGCGAGGCTGTGAGCCCCATAGACTGACTCGGCGACACTCAGGCCTTAAGGACCCTAAGCAAATATGTTGACGTGGTACTTGAAGGAAACTGTAAATTTCACTTGCAGCTTACTCCTCTGCACAGATGCTTGCCCCCTCTTTGAAAGATATCATCGTCATTAGCAGTAATAACATTCTCCTTTATTCCTGTCAGGAAATTCACACCTTTTTGACTGTCGATAGAAAGATATAGTTCATTATTGTTGTTTGAGCTAAACTGTATGAATCACCTCATTCCAATTTTAAGGCATCTATCGGAAACGAAAAATCTATATTCTCCGAAATTGGGAGCAATTCTTATTTTATCCTCAAGAATACATTCTAGGTTAATGCTAAATGACATAATCTAGGATCCGGGCTGGTTGATTAATGCTGGATTTTGTGGTTTGTATTCGATCAAACCAAGTCAACATTCGCTATGTGGGGCCTTGATACCGGACATACCAACGGATCTGACTTGGACCAGTTAAGACTGAGACCTGAGATCTTCACCTCAAAGGAAAGAGGCACTATGAACTTTCCAACAAAGTTCACTCTCAGTCCGAACACGGCTCGAACACAGGTTGGGACCAAATTCTATTTTTTTGCTGCATCGGTAACTGTGCCTTCAAGAGTATACGAAAAATAACGTCTCCAAGTAACGTCGTCTCTAGGCTGCATGTATTCATCGAATTTGAGCTAAACGGTGAACCATAGACAAGCATGAGCTCACTGTCAATCTCAAACCTTTTGTGTACAAGCCATCATTTTCAAGACGCTTATAAGCCTGTCCTGAAGTCAAACCAGTGGTAGAAACTGTACAGGAAAGGCGTCAGAGCACACCAACACGTAACAGTATTCCCTAACTTGTAAAGGTGGGAGCTATTCATATGATTGTGAAAAAATTCAACTACCAGTCCTTCCTCAGCTTAAATGGAAAAGGGTGGATACATCTCTTATGCAGTCCCAGATTGATCACTTGCACTTTTAGTGGACCTTGACATTCATAGCACCAAACGATAAACATGTACCACTTGCATACGTCGCGTCTTCGATATGGAAAAGTTTGGCGGAATGTACCAGGACAAAACAAGGAAAGATACCAAAACCTTTCACCCAAAAGTTTTGTAGAGTGCACTTTCCTTCTCCCAATAAGGATATGACTGACAAGCCTCAGTGACGAGGACAATTAAGCTGCCGGCAAGACATATTCATATACAGAAAGCCCGCCGCACGACGCTAAAAATGGTCATGACTAGAATTAGTGTATTGAGGCCACTCTAACAACAAGACTAAGTTGCTAGGATGTGATTAAACGAAGTCTATGTAACGAAAGAAGACTGCGCCCTAAATTGATCTACAGTTAGCCCCGAAAAATCTACTTATAAAACGAAAAATCTGGGATTGTATCGATTGCATGGGCTGACGCTGGAAATGATCACGATTATTATGGAAATAGTATATAACTTTAAGCGAATTTGTGTTACTTAATGCGGGTAGGAAGTCCAAGATGGTAGGGCCGATATTTTGCTCAGGATTTTTATAGAAATAAGGCGAATTCGATAATCGCAAATTGTTCGAGGTCCTATAGTATTATAGATGTAGATATGGTACCTATTTAGAGTGATCGTAGACTTCGTAGTTGGCAATGTCCGATTAAAGAGTTGTGGTTTACTGCTAGGATTAAAAAAGCGCCTCCACAATGCCGGCGAAACGTATGGGAATCTGCCAGGTCCACAGTCCGAGGCTGGAAACTGTCATAACTATTATGGCAGAGGACTCCAGTCGCCCTAGCAACACGACTAATTTGTCGTATGTAAGTAGAGTTTCGAGACTATCACTAAATCAGTAATATGAGATGTATTCACCCTATATCGTTTAAGGTGATGAAGGACTGATAGTAATAGTTTCCCACAATGATGTGTGTGTAGAGCTGACTTTTCTATTGAATCTCACATTCTCAAAAAATGATAACAACTTTTGAGAAAGCAAGGCTATGTGAAATTCAATGGAAAAGTCATCTCTTCACACACATAATTGTGAGAAACTATTACTATCAGTCCTTCATCAACTTAAACTAAATAGGGTAAATACATCTCATACGGCCAATTTGGTCAAGCCATTCCTTCATTTGGCCTTGCCGCACAAAAGACTTACTCATTAGGGCTTGACTCATTAGTAGCAGCCCTAACGAGATTCAAAACTTCGTCATGCATGGAAGGATAACTTATGCGGCCAGGGTCTTGTGGGGTAGAAACTGTAGTCCCGCCCTGAGGAGATAACTTTTCTTGAGGCCTACCCATTTTGCATTTGGCAGAATCTATGGTGTCAGTCATGATATTGATAAGGAGGAATGGTTCTTTCTGATAGTCTTATAACATGTTAGATGTCAATATAACTCCAAGAGTATCGTTTGGCTTTGAATAAATATTTAGTCAACCTGGATCCCTCAAGCTGATGCATGATAGGGAATTTTATCACAATTAGATATATTTCACTTAGCCTTGCATTCCAAAAGGTATTTTCATCCAGGATGAACTGGATTGCAGTTTCGACCTCTCTGGATCCTCATCAGCACCACCAACGGTAATCCAACCGAAATGTGAATTTCAATACAAGCTAAGCCTCTCCTGTATCGCATTTGTACAGTGGGATTGTCACTGGGGCAAGCAGGTAGTTGATCAGTTGCTTATAATCGTTTTGAGCATGATTTTGAGACTATCAATAGATCTTGAATAAGACATCTATGATATGTGTTTACCCTATTTGGTTTAAATTGATGAAGGACTGACAGTTGAAGTTTCCCACAAAGATATGAATAGACATGACGCTTTCCATTTAATTTCATATAGCATTGCTTTCCCCAAAGTTGTTATCATCTAGGATGGATTGAAATTTCAACATCACCTAAGTCTTATCACCACCCCCAGCTGGACTCGAACCTCGGCACTACAGTGTATAATATCGACACTTACTCACTACGCCGCAGTGCCATGAGGGCCCTTGGGCCATATGACAGATGGGAATTCCAAAGGAGACCCGGCATTTTCCCATATCACATTCTGTGATGGGATTGTTGATAAGGCAATCTTATATTTGCTCTAGCAATCGACGACTTTACTTATATTTCGTTTTGAGCTGGACGCACGTCATATATCCCATTAACTTGTAGTCTCGAAAAAACTACTCAAAACTAATTATAAGAGATCTAGCCCTGCTTTCCAAAAGGTATTCTCATCCAGCTTCAACCTCTTAAGCAACATCTATTCATAGTCCTGAAATTCTACTTGATTCGAATGCAATTAAGGCCGTAAACTATAAAGTCCCATTTTAAAGATGTGATATTTGGAAAGGCAAGTTTGCCTTGAGCTTCCTGTGGCGGTGACATAGCTGGTTCGATTCCTGTTGGGAAGGTGATGCAAATCAGGCAACCCTGGAAGAGGGTACATTTTGGGAGGCTAGGCTATGCGAAATTTAATTGCATAGTGAGGTCAATTGATCGCGTTTTGGGAAAATTTGCCATCAATCCTTCATCACATTAAGCGGCCTTAGGCTGACCAAAGTTATCAGTCTGAGAAGAAGGTCATTCTGAATAGAGGTTCCAATATCTGAGCATTACTAAGTATTTCTTTGGAGACAATGCCTTCTGCTCCCTTGGTTCGTGCCCCAAATTGTCGAGCTCAACTCCCGTTTGTATTGGCAATTCAGCTGCCGACCTGTCCCACCATTTACCGTCGGCCGATGGACATCTGACAGCCGGAGCGACCTTTCCTCCTTCTCTGCGTCGGTCCGGTCTCGCAGCCTCCA